CTCATGAAATTACTCAGCACAGATATGTGGAAGTCATTCATTATATTTTCCTACTTGTTTCCTCACAAATGAACTGACTAAACAAATCTTGATTATGGTATATCAGTAAGATGAGCAGCACACCAAGGATGTCATACTCATGAAATTACTCAGCACAGATATGTGGAAGTCATTCATTATATTTTCCTACTTGTTTCCTCACAAATGAACTGACTAAACAAATCTTGATTATGATACAACAGTTAAGAAAAATGTGAAATATTTTATGTTTTAGTGATGCATTTAAACTTTCAGGATGTAACACTGGAAGTCATTCAGAGCCGGAGAAAACCAATTCTTGTTGAACATCAAGTGGCTGTGGATGAAACAGATAAAGGTGATTTTGACTTATGAATTGTTTTTAAAGAAAAGACAAGAGCATTCGTTTTTTATATATAATGTTTTTAGTTAGTGTAGAATTTTTATCTAAATATTCATTTTTTTAAATCAAAAACTTTCTGTGAAGCCATTATATGTTAAAGTAGTAGTAAGAGTTCAAGTGACAGCCTAAACCTTCCATACCACATATTACTTAATAGGTATACCTGAATGGGCAGATACAATACAACATTATATTTAAAACATTTAATTTTTATTTATGATAACTATTGAAATTTAAGGAAACTGTTTGTATTTACAAAGTATTATCTGATTTTAAAATTGGTTGTGAAATGTATTCTGTTGTTTTTTTTATTATGAACATTTATATGAATGCAACTTTTATTTTCAGGAAAAGCTATAGAAATTCCTGTGAAAGATAAAGAAGCGAACATAATAAACACAGCTTGTACAGATACAAGGGATGAAAAGAAAAGTGAGATAAATCTTGAAGTTGACCACAGAGATTCTAATGATCAGGCATTACATCATAGAGTATCTGCAGAAACTGAAATTAAGCATGATGATGCTGGGCATGATAGGTTGCAGACTGAGGAAAATGTTGATGCAAGTGAAGAGTATAATGATTTATCTTCTCAGAGTGAGAATGATGGTCAACAGAGTGATTCTGTTTCTCATATATGTGATAAAAGCACAAAACAACGTGATAATGATAAATATGAAGATGCCATCGAGGGTACAAAAGAAATTGAGCAACATCATAAAGAAGGTAATAATAATAATGTATCTAAGGGCAAAATTTATAAAAATGGTAATAATCATAATATATCTAAGAGCAATGTTATGAAGAAGGTAATAACCATATTGTATCTAAAAGCAACATTATAAAAATGGTAATAATCATAATGTATCTAAGAGCAATGTTATGAAGAAGGTAATAACCATAATGTATCTAAAAGTAACATTATAAAGAATGTAATCATAATGTATCTAAGAGCAATGTTATGAAGAAGGTAATAACCATATTGTATTTAAAAGCAATATTATAAAGAATGTAATCATAATGTATCTAAGAGCAATGTTATGAAGAAGGTAATAACCATATTGTATCTAAAAGCAACATTATAAAAATGGTAGTAATCATAAGGTATCTAAGAGCAATGTTATGAAGAAGGTAATAAACATATTGTATTTAAAAGCAACATTATAAAGAATATAACAGTCTTAATGTATCTAAGAGCAACATTATGAAGATGGTAATAATCTTAATGTATCTTAGGGCAAAATTATGAAGAAGGTAATAACCATAATGTATCTTAAAAGCAACATTATAAAGAAGGTAATAATCATAATGTATCTAAAAGCAACATTATAAAGAAGGTAATAAGATGATAAAGAAGGTATTCTTTATAATGTTGCCCTTAGATATATTCAAATTATTACCTTCTTAATACTGATGCTTTTAGATACATTACAGCAGGTCTCAACAGATATTTTCAGATATAAGAGCCAGGTCCAGTAATGAAACATTATGGAATATATTTTGAATTGATTGTGTGGTTATGATATGAGACATGCAGTTTTACACAAAAAATCAAAGAGTTCATTATTAAATTGTATTATATAAAATATATTTAAGTTAAACTTCACTATGTGCAATTATTAAAACAGTAGACTAAATAAGTGGATTCTTGCAATGAATGAAAGTAAAATAAAAATAATCACTGAAATATCGATAGGCCAAGTAGGTTGTTTCGGAATAGGTCTAATCTACTCATTACTACAACACTGTACAACGTTAAGCAAAGACCTTTTGGTGTGCCTAACCTAACTTCACTAATGTTTGTACCAGGAAATGGGGACTATAGGGTTTTTATCATCTTGTATCAAGACTTCTTGAATTTGCATGTTTTTCTGGCAACATGAATAAAGAAGGTAATAAATATAATGTATCTAAAAGCAACATTATAAACAAGGTAATAATATTAATGTATGTATGGGCAACATTATGAAAGTAATAAACATAATGTATCTAAGGGCAACATTATAAACAAGGTAATAATCTTAATGTATCTAAGGGCAATGTTATAAAGAAGATAATGATCTTAATTTATCTGAGGACAAGATCAGGAATGCATGGTCCATCTATATTCCTTTAGTTATCTATAGACTTTATTCACATTGTAAAAGTCTCACTCCTTCAGTCCTTAAAAGAAGCTGGTTAAAACTTTGATATGCAGAGCTTTTAGGATATCAGCTTAAATACTCTGTCTGCTATGTAAGAAGTTTCAAAGAAAACTGTTACTTTAGTCATACTCTACTGTTTTGTACACAATTAAGAATAAAATTATCGAACAGCTATATACACAAGTTCATTTAAAATGTGGCTTTAAAATAGAGTCTAGATTAAAAGGTAGATTGTTTACCTTCCTAGTGGTATATGAGTTTACATGCCCGAGGTGCAACAAGGTATATATTGGATCAACCACTAGATGGCTCTACAATCAAATAAACGAACATTATAACCTTAAGGCCTGCAACACCAGTATTATTACTATCAATCACTGTTTAAATAAATGTGGTGATGTGCCAATCTCCAGTATTTTACATGTCATTCTCCATTACCAGGAATAATTTCACTTTAGAATGCTAGAATCTCTTGCAATTAAGCTAAGATGTCTAGCTCTTAACTTGAGATAAGTGCATTACCATTACATTATCATTTGTGGAAATGTAAAGAACAGAACATGAACTTTAATTATTAAGTAAAGAAAAGAACAGAACATGAACTTTAATTATTAAGTAAAGAAAAGAACAGAACATGAACTTTAATAAGTAAATAAAAGAACAGAACGTGAACTTTGATAAATAAATAAACGAACAGAACGTGAACTTTGATAAGTAAAATAAAGAACAGAACACAAACTTTAATTAGAACAAAACATGAACTTTAATAAGTAAAATAAAGAACAGAACACGAACTTTAAATTAGAACAAAACGTGAACTTTAATAAGTAAATAAAAAACAGAACATGAACTTTTTGATTGTTAAGTAAAGAAAATAACAGAATATGAACTTTAATTATTAAGTATTGAGTGGCCTAAAAACTTGAATCTTGTGGATTTTTGTACTAACAACAGTGTTACAGAAAGTTTCACTTGGGAGAATTGTAACTCAACATGAATGTTATAGATATTCATCCACAGTTTTAATATGAAAAAATTTACTTTGATATAAACCTAGTGTGAATTATGTAGCATTATTTGTATAAATATATTATGATGCAGAGCTAGTGTGAGTTATGTAGCATTATTTGTATAAATATA